ATGTAAGAAGGTTTATTACATTAAACCTACTAAAGTGATCTTCTAATCAACTTAGGATTACAAAGACTTATTGTTTATTAGGAACTCAAAACCTATCTCGATTAGGCAAGCCTCAAACAGTGTTCAATAAGGATAATGAAGGCTTAAGGGTTCCTAGTTCTACAAGGATTGAAATGGATTAATCCTATAGCATGAAGGATATCTCTAAGTGTTTCTTGATGGGCAAGACACTTAGAGAGATGCTTATAAATAGAAGGCTCCCTCCTAGATCCGAATAACACAACACAGCTAAACAGAAATTCACCCATCAGAGTTATAGCTATAAGGATCGGATTCTCAGGAGAAGAACTTCTATTCCTTTGCACTGCCAATCCGTTCCAGCTTCATCCAGTCCTTGCACCAGCACCATGTCAGACTCAGGTTAGTGTTAAACGTGTTATGGCTTTATGGAATTAACACTCACCAGCAGTATATCGATAGTCGTGGAGTTAGTCCTTTGACCCCACACCTCACTATGTTGAGGATTTAAGTTGGCTACAATTTGAAGGAAGATCAGCTAGATTGATTTCCTCATATTGACGTTTTGTAGTACCATGATTTGATGCATCTATTCTTAGAGGAGGTGACAATTGATTTGTCACTTTTCTTTTAAAATATTTCTCCATAATTATTTTCAAAGTAAATTTCATAAATAAGATGATAAAGAAATCATGTAAACATTATTGTTCTTGATTTGAGATAATAAAGAAATCACTAACTAACAGCCCAAAAAATATAACAAACTATATAAAAAAAATTACACTGTTAGGGTTAAAGACTTACTAGGTTGATCGTTACAATTCAGTGAAATAGGGTTGAATTCATGTAGATAATTAACTTTAGAGTCGGAGAGGAAAAAAAATTAAATGATTGATGCAAACAAAAACTTGAAATAGAATAGGTTTAATTTAAGTGGTGCAAAAGGTTGCCTGCTTTAGCTTTTAGGTTAGTAATTATTTAAGTTATTAAAAAAAATAAGAAAATAAGAAAATAAAAATTAAGAAGGGTCATATTTTACTAATACATTATATACAAAAGGTAACTAGTAATGAATGTAGGGTTATTCAAAAGGGTCAGCTGACCCTTGCGACCCTTCATTGGCTCCGTCTTAAGATATTAGATTGAATGTGACTGAAATAACTAGATATAGTACATTTTAAACACATTTGAAATAATTGTATGCATTGAATCATTTGAAATCCACTTGTTTTATTAATTTCATTTTTAATCATATCTTAGCATACATGGGTTTCAGTTGTCTCAAAACTGTCAAAAAACACAATTTAGCCTTATAATAAGCTTAATCCTTAAATTTAAAGTCACTGTATCTAATAGACCCTAATTTTTCACGGGAGCATTTTTGCTCACCACTTTAACCCAATGTGTACCATTACCACCATTTTAAATAGTTGACACCAGTCTATGAGATAACCATTGTTAATTTTTTTTAAAACCAAATAATAAAATAAAATAATAATTTCATTTCATTTAAAAACTCTCCTTCTCTCTCCCTCCTTCCCGACCCACCTCCAGCAACCCTAAGCCACCATTCCCCATATAGCAACCCAGCCATTCCCTTCTAACAACCTAGCCACCATTCCCTTCCCCGCCTTGTTCACCCTCCGCCGCGCCCTATTTGCCTTTAAGCACAAAAAAGTAAGGACTCAAAGACTGATTTATGAGGAAGAAGAATTGCATAGCTTACATAAACGAATTTCCCAAGTTGAATTCCAATCACTTTTTTAAAAAGCTTCGAACTTTTTCTAAGCCTACTCTCATTAACAGCCACTAGATCTCAAACCTAGGAGAATCTGACAAAAGCACTAGAGTCCAAGAGATCTTGATTTTAGGGAAATTTGGTTCGGTGAGTTTGTAATCTTCCGTAAGGGTCGATAGGTATTATTATTACTACTTGAACCAATTGAAAGCCTTATGCTTTATTTTTATTTTTATATAAAGTAAATTGACTGATGCACAAGGGTGGCGGTGAAGGACCAGAGGGATGATGTGCCGGCAAAGATGGGTTTAGAATTTGAGCCGTCATAGATGAAGGGAGTCGGTCGAAGAGGGGGAAGAGAGAGGAGAAAGTTATTTTATTTTTTTATTATTATTTGGTTTTAAATATTTTAAAAGATTTAAAATCAAAAATTAACTATGGTTATTTATATGGACAAATGTCAACTTTTTAGAAGGGTGGTGAGGGTACACATTGGGTTAAAGTGGTGAGCAAAAATGCTCCCAATATTTCACAATGAGTCGAAATTCATTAAGCTACAATTTCTTCTGTGAGTTTATAAAGTTGATTTTTAATTGTTGTCCCTTAAATTAAAGTATAGTTTGGCGGCTAGTCGCTTTCTAGTGTGTTGGCTTTGTGTTACATTCAAAGTTCAACACGTCCTAGGTTTGACTAGCATCGAATTCGTGATAGATCACCATAAGTATAGTTTGGCGATCCTTTGATGTAAGTAGAATTGTTAGGTGTTTTGGGTTGCATGGACAATCATCAAGACATATTGTGTTAAAAGTATAAACCTAGTTGGTTTGATAGTTAAATTGAAGCTAAACATCATTAACCCTGAAAATGTCTTAATGAGTAGTGAGCTACCGGTCAACACACCATTTTGAGGTTGTGACTTGTTAGGCGATTCACGTATCGATTGTACGCCGAATACTTAGGTGCGAGCCCATTGGTAGTATTGGGCTTCATCATCAGATATCGATCGAGTCTAAATTAAGGTCATCTCCAACTATAGGGCTAAATGTAGTACATTGCTACAAATTTAGCCCCCCAAAATATTAATTTTTTAAAGAATAGTGCAATGCTAAAAAATTTCCATCTCCAGCCATGCAGGGCTATATTTTAGGAGTAATGCTATTTAGGCACACATATTGACTACCTTAACTGACCACTTTATGTGGTAATTGATATGTCATGCCATGTCAATTAAAAAATAAATTAAAAAACCCTAGCATTCCTAGTGAGTGGCCTCATGACAACATCCAAAAATTGACATGACATGACACATCAGTTGCACATAAGGTGGTCAATGTTGTGTGTCCAAATAGCATTACTCATATTTTAGGGTCCTTCATGTTTTATTATTTTGAGAAAGGAAAGTGGGGAGTACTTTAATGTTTGATGGTTGAAAAACACATGATGGGGCCCACTATGAATTTTGCCTAGGCCAAACTTGGGGATAATTTGACCTGGTTAGAGGTCTAAATGGCCAAATATGGCCCTCCAAATTTGGCTAAAATTTTATTTAGTGTCACATCCCGGGATCGGCTCTGCCGTATCACAATATTGTCCGTTTTGGATCTCTCTCTCTGCCCTCACGGTTTTGTTTATAGGAACTCAAGAGCAACTTTCTAGTGGGTCACCCATCATGGGATTGCTCTAACCTTAACTCGCCTAACTTCGGAGTTCCCAGACTTTGAAGCCAGTGAGCTCTCAATAGGCCTCGTGCTAGATGGAGGCGAACATATACATATAAGGCACATCACCCCACTCCATTGGTCGATGTGGGATATTACAATCCACCCCCTTAAGGGCCCGACGTCCTCGTCGGCACACTCGCACCACACGGCAGAGTGACTCTGATACCAAATTGTCACATCCCGGGATTGGCTCCGCCGTAGCACGATATTGTCCGCTTTGGGCCCCTCTTTTTGCCCTCACGGTTTTGTTTCTGGGAACTCACGAGCAACTTCCCAGTGGGTCACCCATTCTGGAATTGCTCTAGCCCTAACTCGCTTAACTTCAGAATTCTCATGACTCCGAAGCCAGTGAGCTCCCAAAAGGCCTCGTGCTAGATGGAGGCGGGCATATACATATAAGGCACATCACCCCCTTTCCGTTGGTCGATGTGGGATGTTACATTTAGCCTATGACTAGAGATGAATTTTGCATTATTTTATGACTATATTTGGAATAGCTCATGACTGGAGATGGCCTAACGGGTTTTAAGACTGCGGGCCGAACAACGAGGCCACATCTGAATTTCCATGGACGAAATATCAACAAAAGTTTAAAACTCCCGCCAAACTGCGTATTTTCCCTCCACACCAGCTATACATATTTACTCGAAAATGGGAATTGCAATTTCCACCCATTTCTTCTTACTTATATTCTCCTGCTTTCACCTCCAGCTTTATGTTCTGGGTCACCGGTCACGCCCAAAATCCGTTCTAGGGTTTTCTTGTTTGTGGGGGAAGGATATCCAATCCAGGGCTAGGATTGGTCTATTCGAGGAAGCACTAGAGTCTTATTTCGATCTGGAAATATGAGCGCCGTCAACCTTACAAACGTCGCCGTTCTGGACAACCCGGCCGCTTTCCTCAGCCCTTTTCAGTTCGAAATCTCATACGAGTGCTTGACTCCCCTCAAAGACGGTAATCTTATCAAACCCATGCTTCTTCAATTTAATTTTGTTTAGTCTGAATCAGATGGATTTTGGTTTGCTTGAGGTTAAGCTAGGGTTCTTAAAAGAAGTTGCTCCAACAGTTCAATTTGATTTATATCGGGATTTCTAAACTTTGGCTTTTTTATTTAACAAAAAATAGGATTTAAATTTAGGGCTTTTCACATATAAGTCCTTGATAACTTACATTGTAGAAAAAAAAAATGAAAACTTGGACCTGATTTATTGAGGAGTTAAAAGTTAGGACGTTGCATAAGGTGAACAAGATGCTGCCTAAATGGAAGACCTCGTGGTTCCGATTGATTTCTTGATGGGGGTGCTTCAAAGCATAATAAAATAGAGGAAAACCACCATTTCTAATCTTTAGGATAGTTTTCTTGATGGCTTAACTAGTTTTTAGGCAAATTTTATACTTATAGAGCATGGTGTTGCATCCTATATTGGTAGGAATGTGTGGTTCTAAAGTGACGATTGAAAGAGGATAAATGTATGTTATTTGTTGTAACTCCACTGGCTGAGAACTTTATTGTGAGGTGGTTCTGTTTTTTCAAGTTAATGGCCAACTGCCACAGTTTGCTGGTTTATGAATTATATCCGCCTTATCTTAAATAACGGGGCCAGCATGTGTGCATAGGATGGTAGGAAACTTCCAGTGAAATTGGAGTAAATGAAACTGTGATCTCTTTGTCTGACATGTTATACTATTCAATTTATTACAGACTTGGAATGGAAGCTCATATATGTGGGATCTGCTGAAGATGAGACTTATGACCAACTATTGGAGAGTGTGCTTGTTGGTCCTGTCAATGTTGGAAACTACCGTTTTGTCTTTCAGGTAATTATACTGATTCCTTGTTCTGAGTTAAAGTTTGTTTTTTTGGCTCCAATATTATATGGATGTGAAGCTAAATCCTTTCCTGTTTGTGTGTGTGTGTGTATGTTTTGGTCTCCTGGCAGGCAGACCCTCCAGATCCGTCAAAAATACGCGAGGAAGATATCATTGGTGTCACTGTACTGCTATTGACATGTTCATATCTGGGGCAGGAGTTTGTTAGAGTGGGGTACTATGTGAACAATGATTATGATGATGAACAGCTAAGGGAGGAACCTCCCTCTAAGGTGTTGGTTGATAGGGTTCAGAGAAACATTTTGGCTGACAAGCCTAGAGTCACAAAGTTCCCTATTAATTTTCATCCCGAGAACAATGAACATGAGGAGCAGGCCCCTCATTCACCTGATCATGGAACTGAAACAAAGCAGCCCCCTCCTTCGCCTGATCGTGCAACTGAAGAAAACATTAAGGGAGAAGAACGACCCCTATCACCTGTATCATCTGTCCGTGTGCAGTAGTAAAATTTGAAGTAGCTGTATAACAACAAATCGTCATATATCTACTTTAGATTTTGGCATGGTGATCATTTCAGGTGGCATAACTATATTAAATTTCAAACACCCCCATTTTTGAAAAGTTTGTAACATAGTCACTAGAGTGTTGATTGGAATGTTTTGTGTCATCCTTTTATTTTTGGGATGATAAGATGTGGTACATGGGAAACATTGTCTCATAATTGAAACTCTGGAACTTCATTATTCATAATCCTAGTGCACATCGTTCTTATGGAAATGATATAATCATGTATTGGGTGGCATGGAATGAGGGCTCTGGAAATGGAATAGAAAATGGAATGCAAATATTGGCAGTCCTGGAAACGTGTGCAGTGATATGTTTTGCTCTCTAACACTAGCCACCTAACCCACACAAACTATACTCTGGTGGTAGACGTGATTGCTGATAACTTCACGATCCTTTGAGAAAATCCTTGCAACCCTGAATAAGGGAATCCGGGTAGAAGTCACTTTGGTTGGAGCTCATCAATTGTAGGTCAATGGCAGAGTTCGACTCTATGCAGAACTGTTTTCCCAATGAACCGTGATTTACTGACCTTACTGAAGACAGACAAGCACAAGCGGACTGAGCTGAGTAAATTCTTACAAACAACTATCAAAGCACCAAGATTCATGAAATAAAATGGCACTAAAGATTTCTATATTGCAAAGCAATCTTGTTCATCTAGATGTCAAGTTATCAAAACACCAATATTTTCATTCTCTCTCACATATGTAAAACTTTGCTCTTATTCAAATGTAAGTTATTTCTATTTTAACTGGTTTGTCATGACAATACCTTTCTATCATAAACAGAAAAGCAAAGAAAAAAAGAAGAAGTTGTTTTGACCTGTTTCATAAACAAACCTATGTTGCCTTGTCAATGACTAAGACTGTATTTTGAACTCTATTTGCAGCTTTCGTTGCCTGAAATGTGAAATGAAAAGAAACTAGATAAAAAGCTTGTATTAAACATAGACAAACTATTTTAGCAAGGGAGAATAAAGACTGCCTTTAGCCAGGCGAAATGTTTTATCAAACTCACCTCCTCATCCCAATCAGTACACACATTTACCGCAACAAGGGCTGTAACTTGAACAAAAAGTCCACAAATGATTCCCATCCAAAGCCCCTATTCACACAAATCTAAACTTAAAAGGCACAGAGAGAGAGAGAGAGAGAGAGAGAGAGAGACTCACCATACCTCCAATACGGAGGATGAAAGCAAACAGCACAGCAGTAGGAATTCCCACGACATAGTAAGCGCCAAGGTTTATGAGTACACAAAGATTTTGCCATCCACAGCCTCTGGCAGCTCCTAGATAGTCAATTATATTCTTTTTAGCAGCTAGAACTCAGAACTTGGAAAAGATAATAAAGTACTTAAAATGTGCAAGTTTCAACTATCATGAAGCCATTGGATTCAGTAATATGTTAGGACCTGAAAGCACACATTGAAATCCATCCAAGAAGTCAGATAGTGCAAGCAGTGGCATCATTTTAGCAACATATATGATCACTTCATTCTCGTTGCTGTAGAGCTTTCCCCAAACATAGCGTACCAAAACTGTAGCTGTTGCTATGGCAGCACCCTCTGATAAAGCCATTATGGTCATGACTCTTAGGGCTAATTGGGCACCTTGTGGTCGTCCGGCACCCAATTCATTTGACACTCTTGTGCTATTACGATAAGGATTGTTTTTAGGAGAAAAGAAAAGCAGCATTATCTTCAAGGAGATTGTTAACATATGACATTACTGACCTTATTGCACTGCCAAGACCAACTGATATCATATAGACCATCCAACATGTGTTAAGGCTGTGAGCCGAATAAAAAATCAGAAATAATTTGAACTTTCATACTGACAAGGAACATATAAGGAGTTCAACATATTTGCCACCAATATATATAAACTGATAAAATACTATTACCAAAATGTAAACTCAAGTTTCTTTCTCTATTATTCTTCTGTTAAGTTTGATAATGATACCTTATTGATAACACAGATGTTTCTAGTTTTGGGTTTGGTAGAAGACCAGATAAGAGAACAACCATTTCGAAGGACCAATATTCGAAGCTGCAATTCAGAAGTGTATGTAAGTTAGTAATTAAGGAGAAAAAGAAACATATATAGTAACTAAAGATAGTTAAAGTTATGGAAAGAAGAAGAAAAATTTCCATATCATTATAGCTGATGGAATGGCAAGTTTGATAAAGCTGAAAATGTCATGCAATGCCTCTTCCGAAAATCCTGTCCAAGTGTTCTTGCAGGCCGACGAGAACTTCACATAACTTGCCAATAACAACACATTAAACCAATTCGAAATGCTAATCGCCAACGCTGCGCCTTTGTTTCCTAGTCCAAATTTAAAACAAAGGGCCCAACAAACCATAATATGAAGAAAAGCTGTGATGCCAGAGCTTATCATCATTGGAAACACATTGTTCTGTGTCTGTAAAAATCTATTGAGGCATTGAAGGAGGCTAAAGGCAAAGAGGCTTGGAATCATCCACTGGTTGAAAGTTCCTGCTTCAGTCGATATCTCGTGGTCTTGGCCTAGAGCCATGAGAATGGTGCTTGTGTAAAACCAAATGAGCGCCAGGGGAATGCTTACTACTAATAATGTTAGCATTGCTCTTTGCATGTGTACTCCAAGCATGTTGTACTGTTTGGCTCCATAGGCTTGTCCGCATAGTGTCTCTAATGCACTTCCCATTCCCAACTGTGAGACATGTTTGATATGTTTAAGAGAAAGGAAACTCATCAATATAATAAAATACAAGGAAGTTTACTTAGGCTGATCACTTAACCAAGTGACCAACAAAGACAAAAAAACAGGACAAAATTCAAACAAGTGATGTTGAAGAGAAACCCAGTTACCAAGACACTGAATCCTGTGACTGAAGCAAAGGAAGAGGCCATGGAAGCACTAGAAAGTGCCAACTCTCCAAGATGACCAACATACATGACTGATGTGACTTGTAAACTGTACTGCAACAAGCTAACTGCAATAAGAGGCCCGGCTAGCCAGAGTTGCAATTTTGCTTCATTAACAAAATCCCCTCTTCTAAATCCTTGTTGGGATATGGTTGCACCCTCTAATTCATGGCTTCTTTCTTGGTTTGGAATTAGAGGAGTCTTAACACTTGAGCTCACTTCTGCCATTCTGAGAAAAAATAGCATCTTTGCCACTTGAAACTGAATGATTGTTTATTGGTAATCACAGGACATTCCATCCAAAACAAAAAAAAACAAAAAAAAACAAAGACAGAGACACAGAGAAAGACAGGTCAAATAATAAAATGTATAGAATATAATAATAATGCTAGAACGTCCAAATGTGTCATTTTTTACTTGTTAACCAATCCATCATATTTAATAATTTTATATGGCGATTAGTCCAAAATTCCTTTTAAAGCCCAAGTTATATGGTGGTGGACTATACCCAAAGTCCTTTCACCGATAGAAAATAAAATCTTCCTTATAAAAAAAATGAACCGATTTTTGAATTGAAAAAAGAAAAAGATAAGATTTTTACATATTGCCTGTATATCATTACTCTACGCAGCCAGAGCCATAAAAAATGCAATTTTTTTGACCTCTGCGTATATAACGCTCGTGAAATGTCATTACTTTTGCTTTCTCTCTTCATATATTTTCCAAAGCTCCAAGTCAATAGGCTGTTCAGCTAGTGAGGAGGCGGCGACGATTGATTTCCATGACTGACTCAAACATGGAAGAGAGCTTGTTATTGCCAAAATATAGAGAAGATGAACAACAAAGGAATAAAAGCAGTAGCGATTCAAGTGCTTCTACTCTAATGACATGGGGTTCTTTCTTTGAAGAAGTGAAGAGGCTGGGTTGCATAGCAGGGCCTATGGTTGCTGTGATTCTATCTCAGTACTTGTTGCAGGTCATTTCAATGATGATGGTTGGTCACCTGGGCGAGCTTGCTCTCTCTAGCACCGCCATAGCCATCTCCCTTTCTGGGGTCACCGGCTTTAGCCTTTTTGTAAGTTTTCCATCTTCTTGATTTTCTTTTTCTGCATTTAATTATACATATATATATATATATATATATGGAATTATGGTTTTTAAGGTCCAGTCCACCACAGCTGTTCTTGTTTGAGCTCACGTGACTAAAAATGGTTGCACTTGAATTTGTTCTAATCTTCGGCCGGTCGCATCTGGGTCGTTTTTTTTATCATTTTTATTTAATCACTTCCTCTGGTCTTTTCCAATACATACGACACCCAAGACTGCATCTTGGATTCTATAGGGAAGCGATTTTACTGAACTATAATATTACTTTTCGACCAAAAAAAGAACTATAATATTAAAGACGTGCTAAAATGAATGACTCAATTCCACTGGACTGGAGGCGTTTGGGGACACAGCTTTTCTAGTTCTTTTCAGTATTGTTTGTTTGCCCAAAGGTTCTATTTGATTAAATTATATTATAAGAGGTTCATTAGGACTTTGCCGCTATAATGGCGCCCAATCACGGATTATAAAAGTAATGTGAGTTTCACTGGACCCTCGGTCTGCAGGGAATGTTTCCATATTCACTGCAGACAACAATGCACATTCAGATTATTTTGTCTTTTCATACAAAATTTGTCAGCTAATATGCTTCCTGTGCGAAAAAAAACCTCTATGGATTTTGTACTGCAGAAAAAAAAAAACTTAAGAATAATTAAGTACGAATTTCAGTGTACATGTAGTTTTTTTTTTTTTTGGTTTGGGTACCAGCTATATTGGGGGAGGGGGGTTTTCTCACACACACAATCATGTTGCTATGGGGTTCGAAACTTTGACCCCCTGTCTGCAAGTCAAGACTTTTTTCAATGTAGATGTAGTATTAATAGCGAAAGAATGACAAGTTTTAGTGTTGTAAAGCAAGATTGAAGTCAGTAGCCATGCATGGATACTGCTAAAAGAAAATAGGGCACGATTGTGAACAGACTATGGGGTTTACGAAATAGATTTTGTACTGGCTATATATAATCTCTCCAACAACTAAGTACATTGTCTAACGTTGCTATTTGAACAGTTAGGAATGGCTAGTGCCCTGGAAACTTTACGTGGGCAATCACGTTGCTATGGGGTTCGAAACTTAGACGCCTGTCTGCATGTCAAGACTCTTTTCAATGTAGATGTAGTATTAATAGCGAAAAGAATGACGAGTTTTAGTGTATTAAAGCAAGATTGAAGCCAGTAGCCATGCATGGATACTGCTAAAAGAAAATAGAGCATGATTGTGAACAGACTATGGGGTTTGCGAAATAGATTTTGTACTGGCTATATATAATCTATCTCCAATAACTAAGTACATTGTCTAACGTTGCTATTTGAACAGTTGGGAATGGCTAGTGCCCTGGAAACTTTATGTGGGCAAGCATATGGAGCAAAGCAATATCAGAAACTTGGACTTCAAACTTACACTGCTATATTTTCTCTCAACTTAGTTTGCCTACCTTTATCTTTGATATGGATATATATGGAGAAGATACTGATTTTCATAGGTCAAGACCCTGTAATTTCTCATGAAGCTGGCAAATTCACAACCTGGCTTCTTCCTGCTCTGTTTGCTTATGCCACTCTTCAACCACTCATTAGGTACTTTCAGACACAAAGCTTGATAATTCCCATGCTTATAAGCTCTTTCGCCACCCTATTGTTCCACATTCCTCTCTGTTGGATTCTAGTATTCAAGTCTGGATTGGATAACCTTGGAGGAGCATTAGCAATCAGTATTTCCTATTGGTTAAATGTGATTTTGCTGGGGTTATACATGAAGTTTTCCTCTGCTTGTTCAAAAACCCGAGCTCCAATTTCTAAGGAGATATTCCAAGGAATTGGAGAGTTCTTTCGCTTTGCTGTCCCTTCTGCAATAATGATATGGTAACCAGTTTATCTCCCTGTATTATTTCAAGCAGAGATTTCAATCTGCTTAGTTTCTTACAATATTTTATCTTAGAGTTCAAACGTCCTTCCTTGCTTACTTATTCTTGTTGATGGTTGTAGCCTTGAGTGGTGGTCATTTGAGCTGCTCATCTTACTGTCTGGCCTTTTACCAAATCCGGCTCTTGAAACTTCAGTTCTGTCTGTATGGTAAATATTCTGTTTGTGTTCCAGTTCAGAAACAGAGCAGATATTTTAACAATTATGTAGGAATGATAAAATCAATTTGTCAATTTGATCACCATGTAATACTAGCAAGAGATACACCAATTCCATAAAAAATCTGATCATTCTAATTGATTGTTGTGGACAGTCTTCAGACGATCTCAACATTATATGCAATACCATATGGGTTTGGTGCTGCAGCAAGGTATGTTCAAACACTTATATAGCATCAGATTGCATATTTGTATACTACTGATGCAGGACGCGTAGGACCTAAATTTATTAGTTTCCTAATGTATTTGTTTGTTTCCTAGATTCTCTAGTTTTCCAATTACTAGTAGGATTTCTACTTTTCCAGATTTCCATATTTCTAGTTTTAAGTTTCCAATTTTATTTGGGTTCGGATTTCTGTTTAAGCAAGAGATTTTTATCCTAATATTTCTAGGTTTTAGTTTGCTACAAATAACCTCATGTAGTTCTTTAAAATTCAGATTTGAATGTTGAGTAAACCTTTTCCTAGAACTCTCTGATTTTCTTCTCCTCGATCTCCGATATTCTTCTTTGTTCTACTGTTTCTGCCCTTATCTAGTCTTTTCGATATATATTTCTTCTCCTCGATCTCTTATATTCTTCTGTTCGATTGTTTAAGTGCTTAATCTAATACCTACGGGCTGTACTACATCAACTACTAACGTCAATGCAGTTAAATTTGCATAAATAGATATCTAACAAGTAATAAAGTATCTTCTTCTATTTTTGTTGGGTGTTATACAGTACTAGAGTGTCAAATGAACTAGGAGCTGGTAATCCACAAGGTGCCCGTATAGCTACTTGTGCTGCGATGTTTCTTGCAGTTACTGAGACGAGTATAATAACCACAACTCTCTTTGCCTGCCGGAATGTATTTGGTTACACCTTTAGCAATGAGAAAGAAGTCATTGATTACGTCACAACCATGGCTCCTCTAGTTTGCCTGTCTGTTATACTAGACAGCTTGCAAGGGGTCCTTTCAGGTTGGTTGCTCTATAGCAATAAGCAATTAACTATCTACCTAAGAAACAATTTCTTTCATGTTTCAATCTAGTGTTATATTTTCTGTAAATTTTTAATCAGGTATTGCTAGAGGAACTGGGTGGCAGCATATAGGGGCTTACATAAATCTTGGAGCATTTTATCTTTGTGGAATTCCAGTTGCTGCCACATTGGCTTTCTGGGTACAGTTAAGAGGAAGGGGCCTTTGGATTGGAATACAAGTTGGTTCTTTTGTGCAAACCATACTGCTATCTTTTGTAACAAGTTGTACAAATTGGGAAAAGCAGGTCTGTTCCTCAACCTCTAGTCTCTTATAACGTCGATCTTCTCCACCTTCATTTCCAAAATTCTCTGTTTGGTTGCCAAGAAGTTGGGAGGGAAGATGAAGAATATTTTGTATCTTATGATTGCTATTCTAATCCATTTACATGAACTATATCCCAAAATGAGTTCTTTTTCTTCAAACTCCCCCACTGCATTGGTATTTCCTTGTTTCTTCTTGGCAATTAAACAGAGAACCTATCCAAAAGACACATCATTTCATTAAACATGGCCTCATTTTGCCTTGTTGAGTTGATCATGGGCTTTTGATGTTTCAGGCAAGTAAGGCAAGGGAGAGGATATTTGAGGGAAGGCCTCCAGAAGTTAATGGATTGTGCGACAAGGCAGAAAGTAATGAGTTTTGATTAGCATAGTTCTTTCTATTGTGGTATTAACAAGAAACTTACTTAAAGTAATGAGAGTATTAGCTTAAGCCATTTAGTCATGACTATGTGCAAGAGAGAGAGACAATACGTCCCTGACTGCAACACAGTGCCCAGATAGCTTGCAGTCGCTGCACAATATGTGAAGTAGAATGTAGGTGGCAAGTCTAGGCTACTGAAATATCTGGCAAGAAAGAGCCATCTCCTTGGAAGTGCAGAAAGTTCTCAATCAGCAAATTTTATCATGATAAAATGTGGAAAGTCAACAGAAACTCTGTTGAGATAGATTTTTCTGCAATT